GCGGGGGTGGGGGTAACACTAACATTCTAAAGTCAACCTGAAACTCTCTGTCCCCTGAAGTGAGAGTATTCAGGGAGAGAGGCTCCTCCCTCAAAGTTAGAACATTCTGGAATGGGAGAGAAGATGGAGAAAACAGCTCTTCTAGCTCTTCTGTCTCTATGTCACCAGTTTGTCAAAAATACCAGGCAGAGGACTCATCCAGCTCAATCCCTGGCCCTAAGCGTTTTGCAGTTTTGCAAACATATGATGAATGGTTTTCCCATGAGTGATATAAGTAGATGGGTCACACTGTCATTTAAAAAAATTAATTACTTAGATGGCTTCTAAACAAAGTTATGGAGAAAAGAAAAAAAGAAAAACCATGGAGACAAATGGAAATCATTCTGCCTGATTGTTTTCATGTAGACCACACAGCAGTGAGACTCAAGTTCTGACTCAAGTTTTCACTTTTCTGCCAGTTGTTTTGGGTTAGAAGTCTTAGCTGATGCTAATTCATTCTGACAGAAGTCTGATGGTTCCCTTCTCCCCCCATGCCACCAGCCACCTAACGCTCTTGCTCTTCATAAACACTACATTGCCACAGCTCTAGAGAAGCCAACAGTAACTACTAGGGGCTTTCATGTTCAAGATGTCCACATTATACTTCATGTTCCTTTAAAGACCTGACACAATGCCCCCAGCAGATCACCCAATTGCTCTAGTCCACTTTATATACTGTGCACTAGTAGGATGCTGAACTCCAAATCAAACACCACATGCCAAGGTGGTGGGTAGAACAAGGTAAAATGGAAAGTGACCATGTAAAACACATACTATGGGTGGGCTTCTTCATGGATGTTATCATCATGTGGGGAACTCTGCAAGGTCTCTGAAATTCCTTAGTCAGGCATTACCTTGTTGTCTCTCTCAGATGTAAAAACTGAAACTTAAGAGGTCAGGAAGCATCCAAAATGGGATTTCATTTAGGGAGCTCCTTTTTTTCCAGGCCCATGACCAAGCTTGATGAAATGGTAAAAAGTAAGTAGCACTTTGCAAAAGTTAGAGCTAGAAGAAGGCAGCGGCAGCTTGGTGCCACCAGCTGTGGTTTGATGACAAAGTATGACTCTGCCAGTTCTGCCCTTGGAGCTTCCAGACCACTGAGCTTACCGGATGATCCCAAGCAGAAATTCCCTGTCCTGATGTCAAGAAAGGATGAGAGAGGATGAAGAAAGAACTCTTCCACTGCCTGGCCTTTTGGTTCAAATTGCTTCTAAGTCTGCCAAATCTAAGGTCAATGATGCTATAGCTTGAACTATACAATTACTCTGAGAAAGTTTACCTACAACAAAATCCCCTCTATCTCTAGTCCCCTAAAATGTACATCACTGCATGATCAAGCTCAATCAAGTGCAACTCTCACTCCCAACCAGGAACTTCAATTGTTCTTGAAATCCATTAAAACTAGGCAAAAAAGAAAGGAAAGGAAGACGATACTCTCTTTTAGGTCCCAAGATCATTGCCTTTTGCTGTTGTTCAAATACAGCCATCTATACACTAAGAACTAAAGAGTCCCACTGAATCCGGTTTCTGAAAAGGCTCTCTGTTAAAGGGGAGATGATACCCACAAAGTAACTACCAGGATGTGCATGATTATATCAGTCCTGTAATCAAATACTTTGATCAACAGAGGCCTAATGATTTATTGTGATGTAAGATAGTCTCTGAGGGGCTTGGGAGATGGTTCACTGGATAAGGGGCTTGTTGTATAGGTATGAATACCTGAGTTCATATCTCCACGACACACATAAACTGGTCGTGGTGGCATACACCTATAACATCAGTGCTGGAGGAGGGAGAAGACAGGATGAACCCAAGGGCTCTCTAGACAGCCCATCTAGCCTAAAAAGGGGACTTCTGGCTTAATAAGAGACTGCCTCAAAAAGCAAGGTGGAGAGAATGATAGGAGAAGATAAAAAATGTGTGTGTGTGTGTGTGTGTGTGTGTGTGTGTGTGTGTGTGTGTGTGTGTGTGCACGCACACACATATAAACACACATACACTCTTGAGGGAAAACTTTCTCTCCAAAAAGGTCTAATTAATTCTGGCTTTGTTATGGCCAACTATACACTGCCTGAAGAATTCAAAAGACAAAAGCAATATGTGCCCACCAGAATCCGACCCACTTCATCTTACTTGTATGATCACATGCAGCCAATAGGCTGCAAATGACATCACTATACATCTTTCCCAAGCTTTACATTTTTATTTTACACATGCTAACTTTTCTTCTGAAAGATACTGTGACATTTGAGGACAGCTCTGCTATCTAAACTTCCTGACTAGACTGCAAAAATCTATAAATAATGTTTTCTAACTATAGGATTATGTGCCCCGTACTATTCTGTTTGTTATATGACCTCAGTTTACTACAAAGTAGCTGTTTTTTTTTTTTTTTTTTTTTTTTTTTTTTTCTCTCCCTCCCTCTCTTTCTCTTCCCCCTGCTTCAGGTTCTGGCCTGCCATCTGATCCTGGCCAACTGTCTCTCATAGATGTTCTTTAAGACACTCAGAAACTTCTTCATGCAACCACACACTCCAGACCTCAGCCATCCTGGACCATTGCTGGTCTTAGATGTTCCACAAACTTCCACCTTCTAAAACCTTTGAGCATCACTGTTGAGGTCAGAGGACCTAATCCCCTGCTGCTGGACTTCCTACAGTTTAATTCTTTGGCTCTGATCATCTTTTTACATGATTTTTTAAATTATATATGTCACTGAAATGTAACAGAGGTTCACAGCATGTTATGTGAAAGATCTGGTACCAAGAAGGAGTTGAGACAGTGTTCATTGCCATCCCTGATAGCACCAGCAGCAGTATTCAGAGTTAAAAGTCACAACTTATTACTAATGGTGCCTCAATCTAGCTTTACTGCCAAAAATGTAAACCTAGAATAAGGCACTCAGTTTTGGTTATCTCAGCTTTCTCATCTGTTACTGGGTATTTTATACTCAGATGAGAATAAAAAAATAAATAAAGATTATAACCATTTCAGCTGTGTGTTAGGTCCAGAGCCCACCATTTCAGCCATGCACTAGATCCAGAGCCCATGCTTTTATAATCACTCATCCTCTTTTTACAGTATCTCGGGAAGCATGAGAAATCAGAATTTCTTTTCCACTGGTTGAGTTGCGTGCTGGGAAAATACTCGGCCACTGAACTATATCCCTGGCTCCAAAATCATTTTTAAGGTACAGATAACAATGTTAAAAATCTATCAGAAGTCCCACATTAAAGTCAAGCTTACCCTTCCAAAAGAAATGAAAGGATCTAAAACGATCAACCATTGAAGCCTTACCTAAGAAAAGCCAAAATCAAATCAAGCAAGGTATCTTGGGAACAACTCAAGAAGGTGGGACTCAATCATGATTACATTAAGACAACTAGTGCCTCGGCTATTACCATCATCAGTGTATGCTTTTTCTGAAGGAGCAGGTCAGCAGAGGAACGAGGCAACAGTGACCAGAAATTTCCAAATACACATAGAAGTTCTAGCATTCTTTACAGTAAGCTGATCCATGAAAACAAGAAAACCTCTTTCTCTACTGTAAATGGAGACTTGCCTATCAGACCACTTTAGCCTGGGGAGATCCGCTATGACAATCAGCCAATTAGCCCCTGGCACCATAATTCCATGTTCATCAACTTCTGGATGAACTTAAATGTTATGGTCATGAAAACACATCTCCAAACTTAGAAGGCAATCAGAGAAGTGCTCAATCCATTTGATGAGTGATACTTTTCCCATGTATTAATAAAATCCAAATCAGGTTCAGTCCCAAATTGTAGGTCTGCTTGCTAAACTGAGAGCCAGTGTGCATTATGAAGAATTTGCCCAGAGAGGCACATGGACATGGAAT